CCACTCACCTCAGCCTCCCAAAGGCGCAGGATTACAGGCTGAGCCACCAAGCCTGGCTATGAGAAGTTTTAAGCATATATGAGTAGAGGGAGAAGTAAAATGAACTCAGCATTTCCATCACTACCCTGAACAATGATCAACTCATGGCCAGACTGGGTTCATCCATATACTCCTGCTGCCTCCACCCCCCAGGATGGGTTAATTGGAAACAAATCTTACATTTTATGTCAGTTTATCTGCAAACACTTCAAAATGTACTTCCAAAATACATGGCTTCTTAAAAAAAACATGACTACAATACCATGATCATACTGAAGTAGCTGATTATACACCTTCATCTCACAAAATATCCTGTTAGTATTCCTAATTCCTGAATTGCCAAAAACGAGTGGTTTTCACAGTTTATTTGTTTACATAAGTATCCAAACAAGGTTCATACATTGCATTTGGTAGATGTGTGTCTTAGATCTCTTTGAATCCACAGGTTTCCCTCCCTCTCTTGTTTTCCCTTGCAATGTGTTTTTGAAGAAACTATCATCTTATCCTATAGGTTTTCTATATTATAGATTTTGTTGATTATAGTGCTTGGCATTTCCCTCTCTCTCTTATATTTCCTGAAAACTCATAGTTAGACCCAGATGCTTGGTTAGATTCAGTGCTGGATTTTGGACGAGAATATTTCATGGATTGGCTCTGAGTTATCTGTCTGCCTCTCTTTCTCTGAAGATGTTATCAGTCATTGGTGCTTATTGCCTCTATCTATAATTTCACTAGAGACTGCAAAGTGGTTATGATTTAATGCTATCACTCCTGCATTTATTAGCTGGAATACTTCTAGAAAGAGGAACTTTCCCTTGACAACTCTTTCGTGTAATTATCATTTTGAGTGGCTGCATAATGTTACCTTATGTTACTGTACTATAATTTTACTTTTCCTTTGGTATAAGATGTCTAGCTTGTAATTTATAAATTGCTGCTATTCTGAGTAATGCCATAATTATTCTTTTTCTACACATAGTCATTTAAATATTGTGAATTATTTCCTTAGTAGTAGAAATATTTGGTTAAAACAAGCATTTTTCGGGTGCAGGGGGGCACACTTCATCAATGAGGGTACCTGATCTCAAACCAGGTGATGTGGGGACCAAAGTGAGGCCCAAATTACCTGTACAATGACCATTCGTATACCTGAATGGTCATTGTACCCCACATCTTTAAAATAAAAAATTTTTTTAAAAAGTATTTTCCTGTGGATACACTGAGTTTTTGTTTTGTTTTGTTTTTTGAGTCAGGGTTCTCACTCTGTTGCCCAGGTCGGAGTGCAATCACAGCTCACCATGACCTCGAATTCCTGGGCTCAAGTGATCACCTACCTCAGCTTCCCAAGTAGCTGGGATTACAATCATGTGCCACCATATCTGGCTACTTTTTGAATTTTTTTATGGTGATGAGGTCTCACTATGTTGCCTAGGCTGGCCTCAAACTCCTGGGCTCAAGCATTCCTCTTACCTTGGCCTCCCAAAGTGCTGGGATTGCAGGCATGAGCCACTGAGCCCAGCCAATCAACTAATTTTTAAAGAAGTAGTCCCAGTTTCCACCACTAGTTATGTACAAATGTGTTCATTTCACTGCTTTTTGTACCAGCACTGGATGTTATCTGATGCTTTGTGTTTGATTTTCTCTGTTTGCTTCATTCGTTTAATTCTCCTGGTCTTTATGGTTAGATGCCTGAAAACAAAAATGACTTTACAGAGGGAAAAAGAGAAAACACGTTATAAACGAAAGTGGTGTACTTAATGAGGGCAATCAATTGGGTTGTTGTAGAGGAGTTCTCATTGTCCAAGGAGATGGTGGCAGAATCTATAATAGCTGGAGTAATTGTGTGCTTTTGAAGTGTTGGCTAGCAGATATTGAGCTTCCTTCTTCTGTCTAGGTTTCAGTCCATCAGATCTGAAAAAACAGGTTAAAAGTCATTGACCGCCGGGTGCGGTGGCTCATACCTATAATCCCAGCACTTAGGGAGGTGGAGGTGAGAGGATTGCCTGAGCTCAGGGGTTCAAGACCAGCCTGGGCAACTTGGCGAGACCTCGTCTCTACAATAAATCAAAAAATTAGCTGGATATGGTGGCTCACACTTGTAGTTCCAGATACTTGGAAAGGCTGAGGAGGAAGGATTGTCTGAGCCCCGCAGGTCAAGATTGCAGTGACTGTGAACCTGCCACTGCACTCCAGCCTGGGCGGCAGAGTGAAACTCCAACTTAAAAAAAAAAAAGTCATTGGCTGGGTGCAGTGGTTCACGCCTGTAATCCCAGCACTTTGGGAGGCCAAGGTGAGAGGAATGCTTGAGAGTAGAAGGTTGAGATCAGCCTGGTCAACATAGCAAGACTTCTACTCTAGAAAAAAAAAAAATTAGCTGAGCACATGCCTGTATTTCCAGCTACTTGGGAGGTTGAGGCAGGAGGATTGCCTGAGCCCAAGAACTATAGTGAGCTGTGATTGTGCCACTGCACTTTAGCCTGGGTAACAGAGTGAGACCTTGAATCAAAAAAATAAAAAAGTTATCACTTTTGGTGACCAGAGGGATCTTCTTTTGCTATGGGAAACCAGCTTCTTTCTTATTTGTAACAGATAAGCAAATTTACCTATTTTTGCCTTGCTTCTTTCTTTTTTCTTTTTTCTTTTTACAAAGAATGTTGTTCCCGGACAAAATACAAAGAATGTTGTTCCTGGACAACATACAAGGTGGCAACACCCATGTGTCTCCAGAAATATTTGCTTCTGTTGCACAAGAGGTGTCTGCTTTGATTTTTACAGGCTTTAAAGGAAAAACTTCATGGAATAATAATAATAATAATTAATCACCTAGTGCCAGTTAGAAAATGGTAGGTGCTTTGCTAACTGTTGCACTTTTCAAAGCATGTTGTCATACAGGTTGGACAGTGTCCTCAGGGGAAGAGTCCTGAGCTTACGGTATCAGAGCTTGAGGTTAAGATTTATCTTTACCCCTCTGCCTGTGTGTGCTGCATGACCCGGGCTGGTTGCTTCACATCTTTGGACGCAATTTCCTTCTTTGTAAGATAAATAGTTGCTCTGTTGCTTAAGCCCCAGGATTGCTCTGAAGATGGAGTAAAAGAATAGATAGGAAAGAACTAGGTGAGCTGTGAAGGGCTAGGCCCTGGAAGGAATTGCAGATTTTTCTCTTTAGACACACCTGGAAAAAGCTTTCATTCTTTTTTAAAAAAAAAAACTAAGTCCGGGTGGACATGGTGGCTCACGCCTATAATCCCAGCACTTTGGGAGGCCTAGGTGAGAGGATTGCCTGAGCCCATGGGTTCAAGACCAGCCTGGGCAACTTGGTAAGACCTCATCTCTACAGTAAATCAAAAAATTAGCCAGGCGTGGTGGCGCGTGCCTGTAGTTCCAGCTTCTTGGAAGGCTGAGGCGGAAGGATCACCTGAGCCCAGCAGGTCGAGGCTGTGGTGGCCATGAGCGTGCCACTGCACTCTAGCCTGGGTAACAGAGTGAGAATTCAACTTAATTAAAAAACTAAGTCTGAACTGAACAGAAAAAACCTTTTTTTCTTACTACACAAATGTTACTTATTCATTTTAGGGTGTCTAAAAAATGCAGAAAAGCAAGAGAAATAAAATCCCAATTACCTGTAATCCTACCATCATGTGAATAGATTTCCTTCAGCTTTTCTTTTCTGTACAAGGACAAATATTGAAACAAACAAACAAAAAAACCAAGATCATTAGTCAGGGTGTGGAGGCTGAGGTGGGAGGAGCCCTTGAACCCAGGAATTTGAGGCTACAGTAAGCTATGATTGCACCATTCCAGCCTGGCAACAGAGCATGACTCTGCTAAAAAAACAAACAAAAAACAAAAACCCAAGATCACATTGCACATAGTATTTTATCATCTGTTTTTTTCACTATGTCATGAACATTTTCCATGGCATTAAATATTCTCATAGGAACGCATCCCTAACAACGCTCTTGTAACCTATCAAGGCTATAACTTCGCGCTGTTTAACTTGGGAATCAGGGCTGTGTACGTACCACTAATTGCCATTGGTTCACTGTGAGAAGATCATGTCTAGACTCAAGGCCAGTCTATCTCCATGATGAGTACTTCTCTGTGTGTATTTATGGTCCTACTGTGTTCCCATCCTCTAAGGTACTGATTGTGTTTTGTTTGTTCATTTATTTACTTGTTTATTGAATGTACCCAGCTCCATATTGGCCAGTATTGAAAATATAGTCTTATCCTCAAAGAGCGGAGAAATCAGAAAAAGGGAAAAACAAAGCAGAAAAAGTTCAACAAAAGGAAAGTTGGCTTCCAATTGAATGGGGCCAGAGTAGCAGGAACTGGCAGGATTCGTGGGAAAGTGCTAAAATTGATGTGAGAAGGCTTGTGTTTGAGACTCTGCCTCTCCTGTCTGAGAAGACAGGGTTCTAGCACACTGAGCTTCGGACCCCTCTTCTGAAAAGTACCTGGTATGCTGGTTGCTGAATCTAGCATAGCTCCTGGTATGCTCATAGATATGGACACACCCAGCACAAGAAGTGTTCACACTGTGTTTTTTTTTTTTTTTTTGAGTTGGAGTCTCACTCTGTCGCCCAGACTGGAGTGCAGTGGCCGCTCCTGGCCACCGCAGACTCAACCTGCTGGGCTCCGGCGATCTTTCTGCCTCATCC